ATAGAAAATACGTCACGCGATGTCACCTACCGCCCATACTTCATACCTATTTTCGATTAAATTTTTATTGTTTCCTATGCGGCGTTTATTCAAGTGCGGCGCGCTAATTTTGTTTGAATACTGTAAACAATCTTAATAAGTAGTTTCTTAGAAATCGATTTTGAGATAAATATTAGCGATAAAAAATCACGACGTTTCGACCTCTCCGAGGTCATTTTCAAGTGTATAAAATTTCTCTAAATTAGCATAAGTTAAAAACAAGTTATAATAGATAAAAATGTGGTGAACGCTAAAATGTGGTAAAACATGTAAAAATGTAAAAAGTGCTAAAAATATTTATAAAGTCAAAAAACAATGGAAATAAAACAATGTTAACAAGAACTACTCTAAACAAATAATTTGGCGCGAATTGAATCGCACTGTTTGTTTTATTTCCATTGTTTTTTGACTTTATAAATATTTTATAACTTGTTTTGAGCTGTTGTTCGAAGCGGGAAGGGAACGCGCTTATTTCACTTCCTCTGTCACTGAAACTCTTCAAGCAATCTTCTAGCCCTGAAGAGATAAGGGAAACATTCAACGAAAATTTCAAATTCACAAGAATTTGTATTGAAAACCACTCAACCGTGGCTGGGTGGCAAGAGTAGTTTTTCCCATTCATATAGTTGCAATCGCTTCTTTTGAGATACTTTTAAAAAACCTTAGCCTGTGTACAGACGCCCCCCTCCCTCAGAAAAAAATCGGGAGATTTCTAAGGGAGGGGGGACGTCTGTACACAGGCTCAAAAAACCTCGGTACAACTTGGTAATTTACACCATCCAGACATTTACGAGTCTATCTCAGCAAAATAAGGGAGACATTGTAACCCTTTAAGTTACATAATATTTACAAACGATTTACAATAACTGTTGTTAGCGATTTTAAAAAAGTGATTTCGAAATAAACGCCGCCCTTGAATAAACGCCGCATTGAAAACGCTAAAAATGTGATAACCGCCGCGGCGTTTAATCGAATAAATACGGTAATTATTGTTTTCAGCAGTATTTACAGAAAGTTGATAACGTGATCAACAATTGTAAGGCTATTTTCAATTGTGTTCTTTGGTCTACACTTGACGTTGAATAATTACGCGTTGGAGAAAAAAAAACAACTGTTTTTGATTTCTTTTTAGTTAATTAGAAATGGTGATTTTTCGCCTTTTCAGTGTAGTCTTTGGACTCCTCGTGTTTGGTTCTTAATATTTTTTATGATTAGATCTCTTTTTATAGATCCAACGTTTATAACTAGCGGGATCTTCGTCCACGGTTTTTGCAGTTAATCTAATGCCAAAAGAATAGCTTGTTGCGTGGAATCCCACGACCAGGGCGGATAAATGATAACCTTTATCCGCCCTGCCCACGACGGGTGCATGTGTCCTCCGGATTTTAAGTGACAGGGATGATCGAATGGGGGCAAATATCAAAACCCAAAAAGATCCCATGCTGAATTTCCGAGCAATAAAAATTTCCAGAAAGCATTAAATGATATAACACGAAAAACAGAAACATAAGTTTTGACTATTAAAAAAAAACCTGCTTAAATCAAGCTACCCCGAAATCGAAAATTTCAAACCCCAAAAAATCCTTTGACAGGAGCCCATAACCTTTGATCATCCCTTTCACTTGAAATCCGCAGTACACCCCCCCCCACCCCCCACCTCCCAAGAGTGGACCATCACCCTACAGGCCATAATATATGGGAGCAACCTCCGGAAATATAATCCAAAGAAAAATGACTGTTTTTAACGGGATGCAAGACATTTTTATTTTCCATTTATATATATTTACAGACCATACCAACATAATACTAAAACATTCACATGTGTGCAGTCTTCATATGAAGCTCTTTCTATAAAACTCTCATACTTTCCTTATCTTTTCGCTCCTGCTGCTGCATAAACAAAAAATTTTAATGAACTAATACTGGTGCAAACAGTGTTGATTGAGATAAACAAAAAAAGTTGGTCTACCATAATGTCACAAACATTTTCAGAGACCAGATACTAGATCCAGTTTGGTAACCACCATTTTCACAAAACAGTCAGACTTATCTAAGATTTTGAGGAAATGCATAACCCAGCCCTCTCTTCCTGACAGAAGCACACAAAATACCTTGACTCAGAGACCTAGTTTCTGCTCAACAAATATTGTCAAAGTTTAAGTCAATGTAAAAGGAAAAAAAATTCACATCAGCATGAGCAGGATTTTATCCCACAGCATATAATATAATATACATCTTATTAGCCTCGTTTTCTCTGTCAGTACTCAGCAAATAAGCAGTATTTAGCTAATCACAATAATGATTCATATTGCACTGACCACTGAGGTCCATATATAACAATCACACACTGAATAAATATTAAATATGAAATTTGAAAATCAAATATCAGATGTCTCACAGGTAGTTTAAATATGGTATATGAATAAGCAGGATAAACAAACTTCAAATCTTGTAAGAACTAACTAAATGTAAGTCCAGTTCACTTTTTAACTATATTTTAAATAAAATATACACAATGACACATAGAAGAATCACTACATCTATCACTACTACCAGTAGTAGGTAAATAAAATCTTTGCACTTGCATGGTTATCTGGATGGTGGATAATAAAAAAAAAAATGAATGACACAGTGCCTACACTAAGGAGTTAAATGTTGCATATGTTTTGAAAATCCAGCATCATCAGTCTACATGCGACGGAAGACACCCACTTGCTTCTTGCAGTTGGGGCAGCTGTGGATCACGTCTTTGAGAGCATCAATACAGAATGGGATCAAGCAACAACCGAGCCAACAACTAGACAAATGTATAAACAAATTTAACTATTAGAATGAGCTTAATGTTTAAATCTACATTAGACTTCTATGTACATCCATAACTGTTAATAAGCAAAAGTTCACTATTTAATTCTGCCTTATCAGCCAGTACTTATAAGACTTATATAAACCTCATAAACAGGAGTGAGTGTCACCAGATTTTAGCCAGGCATCTTCACTTTTCCAATGGACATTCCATGAATCCAAATTAAAATTCTCAACAATGTAATACCATAATATGTTTACACAATATTTTTTTACTACAACCTCTCAATCCCCGGATTTACTGAAACAAGCTTATTTTATAAATACACAGGATGAAACAAAAAGCTGAGGTCAAAAATTAATTACAGCTAATAGAATCGGGTCAACAGAATGCTTGCTAATTTTGTTATGGGGTAAAAATTTAAGAATGGCAATTATTTTTTCTGTGAGGCAAATTTACCTCAATGTTCCTGCACGCTAATAGGCTCTTTCTCACATTAAAAACATGTGATGTGACATGAGAACACACCATAAATAAAATCAAGGAGTTCTTATACACTTTTATTTATTGATTCCTAATAAACAATTGCTAAAATCCCCACACAAAACCCTTATAATATTTCTGTTACGCAACAACAGTTCTTACATGTGAACTTGGGTAACCTGTGGTTCTCCTCTGGAGTCTCAATCACTCTTTATTAATCTGTGATCAATACTGTTCAAGACTGCAGAACAGGCATTATCTTTTTGCATTTTTCAGGCAAGCAAAGGTAAGCACAAGGCAGGCAAGAAGGAGAGCAATATTTTGCCTATATCAATAACATTATGGTCTTGGCTAAGCTCCATCACTTTAAGCTTGTGTATTTCAATGTAATTTGCCTTTTTCCATGGTGGGCCATTATCTAACTTTTGCTACATTGTCCTTGTAATTATATTAGTGTGACACTGCAGACTCCAAATGAAAAACAAACAAACGTTGATGGGTTGTATTAGATGTCATTGCACAGGGAAAACAATGGTGGCCTCACAAAATGTTGGTTGTTTTCTTATCTTGGACTGAAAACACAAATCAACTAACATTTTGATTGACATGTCATCACCAAGGCTTCTGTTTAACAAATAGTTGGACTAAATATATTTTCATAATTCCCAAATATTAAGGATAAGCGGGATCTCAACTTGCTTCATCCATTCTTCTTCTGGCTTTTTGGTGCTTTTGTGATCTTTGCTAACAGTCGCATACAATTTATAACTGTGCCAGCTACGCTGGCTAAATATTTATTTACACAGCAAGTTCCGAACACTTGGTGGATTTCAGCTGCTTTTTCGAATGTCTTGCTCTCTAATAAACCACTATCCTTATCATGCTAGCGTGTTGGATAGCCAAGGAGAAAAAACACAAATTGGCCAGAATATGCCAACTGCAAAAGCATAAATGTTCATTCCCCTATAAATTAAAGCTGTCTATGAAAATAATCCATTTCTTTTTCGTACATACTTCAGCATCTATCTATCAACCCCACATGTCCTCAAATATTGAAAATTGATGGGGAAGGGATGATAGATGATGTCATAATGCACAGCACATGACATCATTTGTGAAAAAAAAAACGTGCAAAAAAGATGTTGTTGGAATCGTAACATTTGACCTAATTGGTTTACTTCCCACCAATCACATTATTGCTTATAAATATAATGGCAGAGTGGAGTTTGTGAGGAAACGGTCTATGTTAACAGTAAAATAGCTCAAAAAACACAAAATATTTGAAATTTCATTGTCGAATCTACAAGAAACGGCAAACTTTGGCGATTATCCGGGAGATTTCAGACTCTAATCTGGAGACTGGGAGAAACGGTTCAAAACCTGGAGTCTCCCGGATTATCCGGGAGAGTCGACAGCCCTGAAAATTATACAGAGACGAGATGGGAAACATTTACCCTTCGAGCAGAGGTTACATTTTCGAAGTGTGAGCTCTCGTGCGAAAAGTAGCCTCTGAGGACAACTGATCAATTTTCTATCGTGCGCCTGCCAAATTCGTCACACGATTTGTAAGCAAAATTAATCATCAGCAGGTCTGTCGTCAAACGGCACAAGATTCATAAGAATTAAAAAAAAATTGCGACAACTCTGATATTCTGATACGCAAGACTCACACAAGACTCATGCAATGCTCTAACTTGGTCAAGAACAGGAAAAACCCAGTTTTATCAATTTATTCATCCAGATTTCTAGACAGATTTGAACGGTTGTCAGCAGATTTGAATTTCGGCGAAAAAAACGGCATTCTCGTTGCGACTCGTCCAGGACCCTGACAGATCGAAGTGACCAGCCTTAACTTCGTTCTATGAAAGGAGTAACAGTGGTTACACCATCAAGCCAAAAAACCAGTAAATGATAATCAAACACCAAAATACAGTGGAATACTTGTAGGTACCTCTTTTTTATTCATTTCATTTAAGAAAAAGTAAGGTTTAGCATTATTTAGCATTCGCAGATCTCAGTGATATATTTCTCATACAAAGTCTCTTATATTTTCAACAGTCACCTGTGATGCGACACCGGCGTGTCACCTATGGTATGTAAATTACATTACACCCTTTCCTCCTAATGTGAGTTTGGGCCGCCTGTGACATGATGGACTCACATATCGAAAATGTAGCCTCTGCTCGCAGGGTAGGAAACATCAGTCTCGTAAGTTAAATTATTAGATAAAAGCAGCTCATCCTCGGTGTAAGAACCCACCGGCCGGTGACGTAAAACAAAGAAAACAAAGAAATTATGAGTAAGTCAACACAATAAAACCTAGAAAAGCAAAAGGTACAAAACAAAGAAAAAGTTCACAGGTTCTTACACCGTGGTAAACCCGTAAAAGCAGATTGGGTGAAATAAAGTTAATTAGTTCGTTGAAGCAACTACAAACTCAGACGAAAACGTTGAAACACTTTGTTGAAAATTTTCGCTCCCTTTTCCAATGTTGTTTTAGCTAGTTAACACTGAAGTCACGTCTCTAATTTGAACAGGAAAAAGGCGTGTTTCAAGAATTTCTGGCGAGGATTGTAGCTGTTACCCCAATTAAACTAATGGGTGAAATAGCCGATATCCTCGGCGTACACCTACCCAACAAGAGCTGTAGCACCGCAGGACAGCCACGTCAAAGTACCTGGTGTGAAATCAGTAGCGGTAACGATAGTAGCTTGGCAGTAAGGACAGTTCATTGATACTGGAAACTCATTGAACTGCTGCATGGCCATCATAACATGAGGCTGTTGATACACCACTGTAGTTGTTGTGGGGCCGCTGGGTTGAACTGGGTAGCCTGGTGGTTGTGGATATGTAGCTCCGGGTTGTTTAGTTTGATATTCCTGTCCTCCAGGATATGGTGGTGGAGATTGCGCTGCGCTTGGATACTGTTCTGTGCTCATTTTCGAAGGTTTTGCGAGAGATTTCACCCACTCAATACCACCTGCCTTCGATTTCTTCTTCGATCGTCACACGTACTAAGCAACCTAGCTTGTACGTGCACGATGTAAACATGATGTCATCACTATGCGCAAATAGCGCCTCCCACCCTTCCCTACATGGTCTCCGAAAAAAAACTGCAAGACTTCGAAAGACTACTACCATACAATTTGTCCATACAATAGATGGTTTTCATACTGACGTCGTCAAATTGTAAAGTCAAAATAGCGAGGTTTTACGAATTCTCTTTTACACTAGGTTGAAGATAAACAAAAAGTTAATCTTTGTACAAGTTTCCATTTCTGTAGCATGTTTCATTTCGCCATACAGCAATTTGAACTTCCGAGTTTTTAGCCTGCGAGCAAGCTCTCCTATTTGGGCGAGCGAAGCAAGACTCGCGAGAACGCGCCCCTCCTGGCTTCGCAACTCGCTCGCGCGTTCTCGCGAGACTCGCTTCGCTCGCCCAAATAGTAGCCTGCGTAGCTGGCGGTATTGTGCGGGTGCGAGATTATAGTTTTGGTGGCGGAGCCGTGTTCCAAAAAAAAGGAGTAGGGACTTCTCAAATCTCACTCGACTATATTACAACGGCTCCGCCGCCAAATCTCACTCGACTACTTCACAATATACCGCCAGCTACGCAGGCTACCCAAATAGGAGAGCTTGTTCGCAGGCTACCGAGTTTTCACTGTTTCACAGTGCGTGACACCAAAATAGGAATGCTGTGTCGTTGAAAGAAAGTCTCTCCTCTTAATTTTCAGCAGTATAACCATTTCAAGTATTAGAAGATATGTTTATGCGCATGTATGCTAGTTCTCGAGTGAAAAGAAAGAGCTTTTATAGAAAAAGTGAACTCCAGATGTTTTGTTGATTTCCGGCGGCCATATTGGTGCACCAACCACCAAAACGGTGCACCAATATGGCGTCTCCATACAAAGCTCTACACAGGTGCGTTGGCAAATAAGTCAGAAACTTTGGGCCACAAAGACCTAAGACTTGGACGAATTGTTTAAAAATTAGTCTTTTAAAACATTTCATTTTCTTGGCTTCTTCCAATGGACGGTTTCCAATTTATTTTTTTGTTGCGTGACAGTGAAAACGATCTTTAATAGAAAATTCCAACATTCAAAAAAGGCGCCCACAACACTGATCGAGGTCAACATCTTGAAAAATCGAATGATATAAAATTTATTGTTACTCGACGTTTGTTATTTGAATTTGATTGTAATTCGACGTTTCTAGTCTTCCACCCCGAGTTTCCCAGTGGCAGCTGAAAAAAGCCTGGAAAAAAGTAAGGCTTTGTTGCTTATATTTATTTGCTAAGGCCCTTTTTGCATTTCAAGGTAAAAAAATGTCAAATGTAAAATATTTGTGTGAAATAGTACGAGATTGTTGCATGCATAATAAATGTATTTAATAGAGCTGTATACCGTGCCAACTCTCACGCCTTAGGCGTGAGTCTCCCGCCTGCGGGTTGAAAACTTCGATCTCACGCCGGCTCACGCTTGCGGGCCAATTTCTCACGCCTGATTGAAAAATGTGAGTTGTTGCCGTCTTGCTTGACACAATTTCCAAAAATATGTTAGCTCAGACCAATGTAAGGAACGAAAACCATGTGTAAAATGAATAAATGACAATACCTTCCTCGCGATCTCTGATTTTTGAAGTGAAAAGCAAGTGAAAACTTCGCCTTCGGCAGACTTCGGACGTCTCCGGAAGACTTCGGACGTCTTCGGAAGACTTCGGACTTCTTCGGGAATCTTCGGAAATGATCATGTCGTCTTCAAAAATCCTAGTACTCCCAGGATAAAAATCTCACGCTGATATCTCAGAAAAAGTTGGCAGGCATAGAGCTGTGTTTGATGTGGTTCTCATTTTTTCCTTATCACTGTTACAATAGTTAACCTGAACCTTTCACTGACCCCAATAAGATTTCTTGACTTTTTGAGCAGATAAATTATCAGGCGCTAATCTACATCCATTTCTCCGTCCGTCGAGCAAAACGCGCGAGACACGCAAATGACCACGCGCGACTGAAGGCGCCGCCCTCGTTTCTGGTGTCTCGCGTCTCGGGGCTTCGCCGCTCAACGCTCGCGCGCGCGTGCACTACCTTTACTAAAACTGAAGAAAAAGAGAGGCTGCTCGCAGTCTAATTTCTTCGTTCCACGGAAATCCGTTAGATTTCTCAGATAAATTTTTTTTTCAAAATTTAAAAATTATAAATTCTCTGGGAATATTCTTTCCGATTGTCAGCCGACTCTGAACTTTACCAAGAGGAAAGGCGGACTTAAGAAGGTTACATCCAAAGAATCAGAGCCTTTCTCGGTCATTTTTTTCTTACTACATTAGTCCGCTTAATTATTGTTATAAACCAGTTCTGTGATTTTCTTAACCGGTAATAAGAGAATGAATGTCCACCAAGAAGTTTTGAATGTACTTTTTGCTTTGTTCACAACGGTGGTGGAAACGCAGCTACTTTTTTTCTTTCAAGTTGCAAGCTCATTCACCATTTGCTCCTCTGAATACGTCCAATCAAGCATTTATTGTTTATTGTGAAAGTGCGGCCTTTTCCCACCGCATTGCCAAAGCCCAGCAACGTTCATACTTTAGGCAGTTTAGAAGTCCCATGCGTATTCACCCTTTTTTGTCTTTTTTCTTAAGAGCCAAGTTGAGCAAGTCGGCAAATTTTGAATATGTCCAGTCTTTAATATTGAAGCGTTGATTACCAGTCCTTGAACCCATGGTGCGTGCTTTTCTCTCAGTATTGAGATAAGTCTTATTAGAGCGTTTCTGCTGACTCATTGACACATTTTTATACAAACAAGAATATTTCTCGTGGTGTAGCAAATCAATTTTAATCGAGCGATCGTATAAATGAAGGCACCATTTTCAGGTTGATTCAAACTGTTTTTAGTCCGAAAACTGGCCACAGTGAAGATAAAGTACCACTTCAAACTACAGGGGCGGATCTAGGGGGAGGGTGCAGGGGGTTCGCACCCCCCCCCCCCCGGGAGGACGCGGGGGTTTTTAAAAAAACAGGTATTCTGAAAAAAAAAAAACAAAGTGGTTTTTTGTGGTGGAGTTGTGGCAAGAGAGAGGTGGACCCCCCCTTAAAAAAATATTTTGTTTCCCCCCGGAGCTTTGCCGTGTCTGGGGGGATGTGAGAACAAATCAATTTTAAACCAGCGATCGTAAAAATGAAGGCACCATTTTCAGGTTTATTCAAACTGTTTTTAGGCCGAAAACGGGCCAAAGTGAAGAAAAAGTACCACTTTAAACTACAGGGGGGGATTTAGGGGGGGGGGGCAGGGGGTTCGCCCCCCCCCCCCCCCCCGAGATGACCTGCGGTTTTCTAATAAAACTGGTATTCTGCAAAAAAAAAAACTATGTGGTTTATTGGTGTTGAAGTAGAGCAAGAGACGAGTGCACCCCCTCCTAAAAAAAATCCTGGATCCGCCTCTGAGCTATCCCTGGTGTGGAAGGATTGTCAAGATTCCCTTCTGCCTCTTCGAAGCCAGGTTTGTTCTTTGTTCTTTTTTTGTTTTGGCTCGTTAATTAAAACTAATTGCGGGAAATAAATCTCAGGTAAATTCTCAGGTATAAACAAAAACTGTGTTATCAGTCGTAAGTTGAACGGTTCTTACTGCTAAATTCAGTTTCTCGAAGAAAGCTATGATTCTTTTACACTTTACATAGCAGATCAGAGTGTCTTTGCATGATTCATTTGGAATGTTTTAAAAAATCCGTTGTCCGAAGTATTCTGTGAACCTGGAAAACAGTCCCTGATTTCAGGCTACTGATGTTACTTCGATAATGAACATGAAGGCAAAATGAAACTACAGTGTATGAGTATTGTAATTGTCGCTGAACAAAACATCGAAAAAGTAAGGTGTCCGGGATTTGACAACGTACTATAGTGGAATATTTTTCGTAGTAAAATAAATATTAAAGGTAGTAATCGGTTGTAAGTAGAGAACCGTGTAACGTATATTTACTTGAAAAATTGCAAAGGTTGTCTCTGACCCGGACAATATGCTCAGAACATTGTTATTTATATCAAGTTAACTGGCATTAGTGCTACATGTAGTAAAAGGTCTAAATGATTACCCTATATAAGTAAGATTTGAAGGAAATTCAGTAATATGCGTCGATGGCAATGCCATTCCAATAAACCCTCCTAAAAGTGTGGAAGTGCCTTGGAATTTACTGCACTGGCTCGGGTTCAAGAATTGAGAGCGCTTTAGTTCACTTTTGGAATAACCATAGTTCATAAAATAATATCATGCTCTCGCTAAAACAGAAAACAAAGTCTTTTTAGGGCTTGAAGCGTGATTTTTCAGTTTTGTTAAGGTAGCTGAACACAGTTTCTCTGACATCAAGTTGCGCGCGCTAAGAACCTTCACTGATGAATTTGTTCAGCGCGCACGTTGTCTAAAGAAGAATTAAAATCTCAAGAGATATCGCCCTTAAAATACTTTATCCCTCCACTGTTAACATCTTTGTAATGAGTAGATATACAGCCAATGGAATTTTGCAGAAAAACTGTGAAAGCAGGCTCAGAAAAATGGCCATAAGTTGTCTGTAGAAATTTATCCCGTTGTCGTCCTTTTCTCATGTCGCGTGGCCCCGGCGCGCACACAACTAATGAGCGTCAAACCTGAAAATTAAAGTTCAACAGAGGAGTTTTCAAGATCAACTTTCACAAGAGAGCTACTTTATAAAAAAATATAATTCGGTTAAGTTGCTTTTAAAAATGATGGTCACTTGATGTAACCTAAGTGCACCTTTGTAATCAAGAATAAACTTAATTTTTCACCGACTGAAAATGAATGTACTTCAGCTAATTCATAATTAGGTTTCATCGTGTTCAAAATTTCAGATTGTACTTGCCGGGGAGTAGATATAAATGCAAATTTTGCATTTAAGTATGTTCACAGATAGACAACAAACTTTCGCAATTAATTAT